GGATGTTAAAAGGGTTTATTAAAAAAAAAAGACAGTTGAGCACAAAAACAGGCTGAATGACAGAAGGTGCCAGAAGTGTCATCAGAATGTTCACGCCCCTAAGGGTGAAGGCAGAAAAACAGCAAAGAAAAGAAGGAAAAAGAGTTTCTCAAATATTCACAAACAACAGCAACAGGACTAGGGAGCAGACAGCACTAAAAGAATGCGCAGGGGAATGCTGAGAAGCTGGGATATTCTGAGAACAACAGGGGCTGGAGCAGTGGGCTCCCTGTTAAGGAGGGTCACCAACGGCACTGAAGCACCAAGCAATGGTCAACTATGGGTTCCGGCACTGAGGGCAGGGCCGTTCCAGGAGGGAAAGGAAGACAAAAGGTGGTTTCTTTGCCCCATACAAGAAGAGGCAGCAGTCATGATAGACAGGACACACAGAAATGCAACGTAAAAGACAGACATTAGGAGGTAGTAGTGTGAACTGAGGGTAGAAATTTTTAAGAACAGGAATAAAGAATGTAAAAAAGTCAAGCCTGCCTGGAGAAGAAAGTTTGGTTTATTTAGAACGGCCAGGTTTGAGCTAACCAAAACCACAAGAATAGATCTTTGTGGAGAATATTCTTTATGGGGACAGGACAGGTTGAGAAAAGGCCTAGAAGACAGCAGTGGAGGTCCTATGACACCAGAAGCCAAGATACCAGAGGCCTACAGCAACTCAGCTCCTGGCAGCTTGGCCGCCAACAGCAGCGGGAAAGTTAAACCATACATGTGATAAAGAACTAGTATCCAGAGGCAACTGGGTGGCTCAGGCAGTTAAGCTTCTGCCTTCGGATCAGGTCATGATCCCAGGGTCCTGGGATCGAGCCCCTCATGCATCGGGCTCCCTGCACAGTGGGGAGTCGGCTTCCCCCTCTGTCCTTCCCCCTCCTTGCTCATGCTCTCACACTCTCTCTCTCAAATAAATAAAACAAAATCTTTAAAAAAAAAAAAAAAAAGAACTAGTATCCAGAAAACATAAACAACTCTTACAACTCAACAGTATAAAGGCAAAGAACCCAATGTTAAAACGGCCAAGGATCTGAATAGACATTTCTCCAAAGATGATTCACAAATGGCCAATAAGTACACATAAACAGAGTCAACACTTGTCATTAAGGGAAATGCAAATGCAAATCAAAATCACTGTAAGATAACCATTTCACATACACTAGGATGGCTATAATCAAAAAGATGGAAAACATCAAATGTTAGCAGGTTGTGGAGAAACTGGGACCCTCATACGATGCAGGTGGGAATATAAAATATAATAGTACAGCCACTTTGGAAAACAGTTTGGCAGTCCCTCAAATGATTTAAACATAGTTACCATGGGGGAGGGGGGTGGAGGGATGGGTTAGCCTGGTGACGGGTATTAAGGAGGGCACATTCTGCATGGAGCACTGGGTGTTATGCGCAAACAATGAATCATGGAACACTACATCAAAAACTAATGATGTAATGTATGGTGATTAACATAACATTATAATAAAAAAATAAAATAAAATAAAAATAATTATAGTTACCATGACCCACAAATTCCACTTGTAGGTATATAACCAAAGCACATAAAAACATGTCACACAAAAACTTGTACATATAATGATGTTCATAGAAGCATCATTCATAATATCCAAAACGTGGAAGCGAAACAAATGTCCACCAACTGATGGACAACAACAAAATGGGATATATCTATACATAGAATATTACTGGCCATAAAAAAGAAAGGAATACTGATATATATTATCACATGGATGCACCTTGAAAACATTATGCTAAGTGAGAGAAGCCACACACAAAAGGCCACATAATGTGCGAACGTCCAGGTGAGGCAAATTTATAGAGATAGTAAGTAGATTAATGGTGCTTTAAGGCTGGGAGGAGAAGGGAGAATGAAAATGGACTGTTACTGGGTGCATGATTTCTTTCAGAGGGGACAAAAATGTTCTAAAGTTAGATTGTGATAATGTTTGCACAGCCCTGTGAATATACTAAAACCCATTCAACTGTGCACTTTAAATGCGGGAGATGTATGATAGGTAAATTATATTTCAATAAAGCTGTTTAAAAATGCCATCTTAGGGCGCCTGGGTGGCTCAGTTGGTTAAGCGACTGCCTTCAGCTCAGGTCATGATCCTGGAGTCCCTGGATCGAGTCCCGCATCGGGCTCCCTGCTCGGCAGGGAGTCTGCTTCTCCCTCTGACCCTTCCCCCTCTCATGTACTCGCTCTCTCTCATTCTCTCTCTCTCAAATAAATAAATAAAATCTTTAAAAAAAAAAAAATGCCATCTTATTTGGACCCATGGGATTTGAATTTATGGAAGTGACTGAGCACCAGCCAACCTGGAGAGGCCAATGCCAATGAAAGAAGACACTACTTACATTTCCCAAGACAAGGGGCACCCACACCACACAGGGTGACAGAGGAGCAGCAGGTTTGTTCAGGAGGCAGAGGGAGGAGCGAGGGGAAAGCCTAGACCTTTTATTGGGGTTTCCGCAGGAAAGGCAAGCCAGGACAGGGTAAACAATGCAGGATTGGCTTGTTTGAATAATTCAGGCTATAGCACTGTCTCTGGTCGTCTGGTACCTGGCCCTGGGATAATGTAGAGCAGGGAAAATATTGGTATGGTGTGTGAGTTAGATAAGGAGGTAACTGAAGGCTAAAGATTCAGGATTGGTTGATTTGCATATGAAAGGTATACTCCAGGCAGGCTGTTGTTATCTTTAGGAATTAGCTAGCCCTGGGAGAGACAGTTTTCCCCAGGTCTGTAAGGCCCCCAAAAGCCAGAGCATCAAGAATACAGAAAATAAGAAAATATAGTTAATCTAACTGGCCCTGTGATGAATGGATGCCAAATAGACAAATACAGAATCTGAGGAAATAGAACAAATATATACAATAGAAATTCACAGGCTGATTCTAAAATTTATATGGAAATGCAAAAGACCCAGATGAGTGGAAACTATCTTGGAAATAAAAAAAAAAAAAAACAAGACAGAGAACTTACACTGCATAATTTCAGACCGATTACAAAGCCACAGTTATCAAGACAATGTGGTATTGGCATAAGGATAGACAAACAGACCAATGGAACAGAATGAGTCCAGAAATGGGCCTACCCATTGACAGATGACCGATATTTTACAAAGGCCTAAAGTAATTCAATGGTAAAAGGAAATTCTTTTCAACAAATGGTGCTAACACACCTGACTATCCACATGGGAGCCAGGTAAAGGAATGAATCTTGACCTTTATCTCACACCATTCATAAAAATCAATTCGAGATGAAATCAAAGACCTAAACATAATAGTTAAAACTAAAGCTTCCAGGAAAAAAAAAAAAACACAGAATATCTTTGTGACTCTGAGGTTGGCAAAGATTTCTTAATATATAAAAAGCACTAAACAAACAAAAAACTAAAAAAAAAACAAAATGCACTAACCATAAAAAGACAAACTGGCCTTTATTCAAATTCAAGACTGCAAAAGATACCATTAGGGAAATGAAAAGAGGAAGCCACAGATTAGGAGAAAATATTCACAATGCATACTGGGCAAAAGACTCATTTCCACAATATATGAAGGACTCCTACAAATCAACAATATAACGTCAAACAACCTAATTTGGGCAATAGACACTACACAAATAGAACAGCCAATGTGCACATGAAAAGGCGTGCCTCATCATCAGTAGTCATCTGCAAAATGCAAATTAAAACCACAATCATACCACTTTACACTCACTAGAATGGCTAAAATTAAAAAGATTTTCAATACCACAGGATGGCGAGAAAATGTTCCAACTGGAACTTTCAGAAATTGCCAATCCAAGTATAAAATAGTACAGCCACACTAAAAACAGACTGGGAGTTTCTTACAAAGGTAAAATATATACCTACCCTATGACTTAGCAATTCCCACTTTGGGATGTACCCAAAGGAAACTGAAACATACGCTCATAACAAAGTGTCGTATAAGAAGGTTCATGGGAGGGCGCCTGGGTGGCTCAGTTGGTTAAGCGACTGCCTTCGGCTCAGGTCATGATCCTGGAGTCCCTGGATCGAGTCCCGCATCGGGCTCCCTGCTCAGCAGGGAGTCTGCTTCTCCCTCTGACCCTCCCCCCTCTCATGTGCTCTCTCTGATTCTCTCTCTCTCAAATAAATAAATAAAATCTTTAAAAAAAAAAAAAGAAGAAGAAGAAGGTTCATGGGAGTTTTATTCATTAATAGCCCAAAACTGAAAGCAACCCCACTGCCTTCCAACAGATTAAAAACTGTGGTACGTTCACACTGTTGAATAGTACTCAGCAATAAAAATGAATAAAGTGCTGATATGTACTAATATGGATGAATCTCAGAAACATTATGTTGAGTTTAAGAATCCACTTGCAAAAAAAATACACGTTATGATTCCATTCATATGAAATTCTAGAACAGGCAAAACTAAACTAGTGACAGCAACTAGAACAACTGTTTCCTGGCTGTGAGGGAGGGACTACTGGCTAGAAATGGACACAAGTGAACTCATCAGGGTGAGGAAAACGGCCAATACATATCTTAATTTGGGTGGTGGAGAAGGGTTTTTTTGTTTTTTTAATAGTTTCTGATTTTTTTTTTTTTTAAGATTTTATTTATTTATTTGAGAGAGAGAATGAGAGGGGGAAGGGTCAGAGGGAGAAGCAGACTCCCTGCTGAGCAGGGAGCCCGATGCGGGACTCGATCCCGGGACTCCAGGATCATGACCTGAACCGAAGGCAGTCGCTTAACCAACTGAGCCACCCAGGCGCCCGGGTTTTTTGTTTTTTGTTTTTTTTTACATCCATCAATATATGAACTCATTTAACAAATTCATTCAAAATCATTACACTAAATGTAAATTATTCTTTAAAATGGTAAAATTCATTGGCTGCATATCAGAGCCACACAAAAGTTGCATAAAACAGAAATGACATTTAAATAAAAATAAATACCTTTGTCCATCTGCAAAGCTTCACTCCAGAGTGGCTCCCAATCAACTGATACCCTGAACAGAAAAACAAGGAACACAAAACTGAATTGATTCAAAGCCTCATATTAAACGGTGATTAAAAAACTGTAACAAAATCCTTTTTTGGGGGGTGCCTGGGTGGCTCAGTCGTTAAGCATCTGCCTTCGGCTCAGGTCATGATCCCAGGGTCCTGGGATCAAGCCCCACATCAGGCTCCCTGCTCGGAAGGAAGCCTGCTGCTTCTTCTCCTACCCCTCTACTTGTGCTCCTGCTCTCACTATCTCTCTTCTCTGTCAAATAAATAAATAAAATCTTTAAAAAAAAAAAAATCCTTTTTCTTTCCTTAAATAATGGCAGGCAACAACCCAGTGGCAGAATACACTAAAAGTTTAATTCACCAGAATGATAAAACACGTTAAAATGTATATGCATCTAATAACACAGACTAAAAATACAGAAGGAAACAATATGTTAATCCAAAATCATAGAAAAAAATTTTTAACATTTTTCAGTATCTAACAGATCCCACAAAAACTTAGTAGATCTAAACAGCACAGTAAAGGTGACGAAGAATACATAGTACTACGCTCAACAACTACAGAATGCACATGCTTCTGGAGGACCCAAGGAAACTTTGTGGAAAAAAAAAAACAAATGCTGGGCCATAAAGCAAAAGCAAGTAACAATATACTTCAAACAAACAACTAGGGAACTCTCACCAGTAACCTCTGAAAAAAGATGAAGAATCAGATGAGCAAAAGAAATACTGCCCCAAGAAGTGAAAAATAAAATTCTAGGAACAGTAACCAAACATGAATTCTCAGCACCACTCCATAACCTAGCATTTAAAATTCGTGAGCCACAGAAGACATGAAAAGCATGGAAAAGCCATGCCAAAGTAATCACATCCTTTTTTAATAAATTAGAAGAGCAAACAAGTAGAACGTTCTGATTTCAGAAAGCATTTAATAAAGTTTTTCACGAGGCTTCAAGTAATAAGCCACAATTATGAGTCTCTTATACAAAAAGACTCTTGACTTGCAGACAAATGAGGCAAAAGGAGAAATATAGTCTGGATGATGGCATAAGTGGATCTGTGGCTGGTTAAATATCCATACTCACAGGGTGATGATTAATGGAACAATGTCAATTTGGATTACAGGTCTCTAGTGGCCATATTACAGGGCTTTGTCTTTTATTCTCTTCCATATTTATGTAAATATCTTGCACATAAATAAGCAAAGCACTACTTATCTATTTGAAGGGGGAACTAGTCCAACTGAGTAACTAATCTCAGATGCAGAAAAAGCATTTAAAAGATTCCCAGAGAAAAATTCTAGTTCTTCTTTTGGATTCCTACATAATATGTTCTTCAAACCATCATCACAGAAATCACATTCTTATTAAATTAGCTCTTTATATCCTTCTCTTCCAAGATACATAGGGTTTTACAAAATTTTGCACTTAGGTAGGTATGAAGAAAACTGCAAAGTACAGAATGGAGAGACCTGTGGCTGACCACAATGCAAAGATAAGCCAAAAGTATGCAGCTGCTAAAAATCATAGTGTACAGTTCTGTTCTAACCAAGATTAAGTAACAGAGGATTTACTCTCCCACCTGAAATGCCAAAAATGGGACAAAATATATGAACCAACAGTTTCCAAGACATGAAACATCAGGCAACAAGGGACCGTAAGCTCAGGGAGATGGGAAACGAGCCCTACCATTACCAGAGCTTACTGCCTTGAAAGTTTCTGGGCCATGCAGCAAGGAGAGGCAATCCAAGAACAGCTCAGTATCCTCTCTAAGTTGAGGACATGGAAGCAAGAGTCCGGGGAGCCCACATGGCTAGACTTTGCAGAACTGAGTACCAGAAAGTAAAGAGCTACGCAGAGATTAAACTCAAGAACCTGCAGAGGATTTCCAGAAATATCTAGCTGAGTACTGCTTAGTGCACATGTGAGAGAAAAACTCACCAAGACTGAGAAAGAACCATCTGAAAGGCCTAGAGGTATGCCTGGTGCTCAGCTGGCTGGGAACTGTGCCTGTTCGTACCGGTCAGAGGCTTAAGATTCACAAGGCATTGAACAGAATACACAGAAGTGTTTTGCCCCAATAACCAGAAGTAATTAGCCATATAGTGAGTAAGCTCTGGTCTCACTTAACAAGTCATAAAAGCCAGATTAAAAGGCTCAAACTGTTTCCAAGTAACTGCTCTTCATCCTAGAACAAAGCTTAAGAATGTTTATAGGAATACAAAAATATCTAGCACCCAATAAGGTAAAATTAGATCTGGCATCCAATCAAAGATTACCAAGCATGCAACATGACCAATGAGGAAATAATCTAGCAACCAAACTGATCCAGAAATGACACAGATGTTGGAAGTACATTAAAACAGTTGTAACTGTAATTCGTAGGCTCAAAAAGTTAAGTAGAGACATGGAGACTATAAAAAGACCCAAACTCAACTTCTACAGATGAAAACTATAAATGCCCGGATAGAATTAATGGAAGATTAGACATTAGAGAAAAAAAAAATTACTAAATCATACCTGAAGACACAGCAACAGAAGCTACGCAAAAACGAATGGTAGAACAGAAAAAAGAATTTTAAATAATGAAAAGAACATCAGTGAACTGTAGGTCAGATTCATGTAACTGAAGTCCCCAAGGAAGAGAAGCAGTGACAGAAAAATATTTGAAGAAATAATGGCCAAAATTTGTCCAAATTTGATTAAAACTATAAATCCACAGAACCAGGAAGCTCAACAAGTCCCAAGTAAAAGCAACGTGAAGAAAACTACATTGAAACACATTATAACTAAATTGCTCAAAATCAGTAATTAAGAGAAGATCTTAAAGGTAGCCAGGGGGTAAAAACATTACATTCAAAGGAACAAATGAAAGATGAGAACACAAGCCTCATCAGAGGCAATGGGAGCAAGTAGACAGTGGAACACCTAGAAAAGAAAAAGAAAAAAAGGTGTCAATCGACAATTCCACATCCATCAAATAATATCCTTCAAAAATGAAGGCAAATTAAAGCCTCTTTCAGATACACAAAAGCTGAAATAATTCATCACCAAAAAACCCACGCAACACAAAATGCCAAACGAAGCCCTTCGGGCAGAATGAAAGGGCTGCCAGAGAGAACACAGATCTACGCAAAGGAATGAAAAGCACCGAAGTGGTACCTACCTGAGTCAATATGTAAGATTGTTACTAATTATTGACATCTTTGATAATTGGCTATTCAAGCCAAAATAATAACAGCATAGTGTAGGTTTATAACACTTGGAAAAGTAAAAGGCATAACAATTGCTTAGAGGGAGGCAAGGGGAAAACAGGCATACTGCTACTGAAGCTGCTTCTCAGTTTATCACCTGAAAGATATACTGTGCTATGATACAGAGATATAGTGTAAAACCGCCAACAACCACTGAAGAACAAGACAGTGCTGTAAGTAATAAGCCAACAAGGATGTAACACTGAATCATAAAAAAAATAATCTAAAGAAGGCAGAAAACAGGAACAAAGGAAATCAAAGAACACATGAGACAAGTAGAAAACAAATAGCTAGATGAAAGATCTGAACCTATCATAAAATCACTCTAAATAATCAATAGTCTGAATATCCTTATTAAAAAAAAGATTACATATATATTATATATTATACACACAAATATATACACATAACCTGAATATTCCTGTCTGTCCCCTCTAATAGGCTGGTTCCTTGAAGGAGATACTGTATCTTGTGTTTCTCTGCATTGCCAGACGTATCACATAAAAGGTTCTCAATAAATACAGAAAGACGGGAGTGAGGGAAGGAAGTCAGTCTACTGACTCCCAACTGACCACTCTTTCTTCTACAGGAAATCAATACTATTATTTGATCTCAACTTATAGCCTCCTTAGTAAGTGATGACCACAGAACCCCAGATAAACTTCTACATAAAACACTTCTAATTGATCTAGCCTCCTATCAACATGAGCTTTTTTTCTGCATTTAGTAATTTCCCCTTAATAAACAATGACTCGTAAAGAAGCCCGCGATGCCATTTCCCATCTGCATACCTGAGCCACACTGATGCTAACATCCCAATAAACCAAGCAGACGGGAAATGCACTGGCCCAGCAGCCAACACACACGTGATCCACGGGAACAAGAGGGGGGCCCCCTGGACAGCGACACAGTGACAAAGAGACACAGCTGCTGGGCTAACCCCAGAAGGACCTCCTAAACCCTCTTTCCTCTCGGCAGTCCCTATCTTAGGCTTCCTCATTTAGGTATAAATTAGAAGGCTTAAGAGGGTAGTTAGAGCGCCCATTTTTAATTACACCTCATTAATAGCCTTTTTGATTTCGACTTGGTTAGATTTTAGTTCTTTTATTTCTCCTGAGCACTGTGAAGTGTGCAAGACTGTTGAATCACAGATCTGTACCTCTGAAGCAAGTAATACATTATATGTTAAAATAAAAAGAAGAAGGAAAAGAAGATAGCAGGAGGGGAAGAATGAAGGGGGGGAAATCGGAGGGAGAGATGAACCATGATAGACGATGGACTCTGAAAAACAAACTGAGGGTTCTAGAGGGGAGGGGGTTGGGAGGATGGGTTAGTCTGGTGGTGGGTATTGAGGAGGGCACGTTCTGCATGGAGCACTGGGTGTTATGCACAAACAATGAATCATGGAACACTTCATCTAAAACTAATGACATAATGTATGGTGATTAACATAACATAATAAAAATTTTTTAAAAATAAACAAAAAAATAAAAAAATAAAAAGAGGGTAGTACTGTGACCGCACTTCCTGAGGACAGCACCTTGTTTGGTGAGGGCTTCTCGGAGAGCAGGGGTTATCATAGCTCTTCTTTCACTGGCTTCATTCTTCACGGTGTTCCTGACCAGACTACTTTTCTCCTCCTGTTGCTCCTTTTCTCTCTGTATGACAATTGAAAGAACAAAAGTCAGACCTGGCAACGTGCGCTGAGAGTAACAGTACACCGCTCACGAACACAGAGTGTGGATGACAGGGCTCATCGCGAACCCTGGCCCATAACCCAGGCTCCTCCAAAGTGATTATGTTCCCAGTCAGACAATGATCGAAGAACTGCCAGTCTCATTTTTCTTTTTTCTTTCCAAAAAAGTAACTACATACTCAAACACATACACCCACAAAATGTAAATCAACAATCCACTTATCTGGATGTCAATTATTTTTAGCAATCCGAGTACAGACAGCTGCCGAAATTCATCAAGTTATTTCTCTGAATTTCAATCTCCTCACCTGAAAAAGGAAGAAAGTAGCATCTGGGGAGCAGGGATGTGTTAAGATTAAAAGAAATAAATCACCAGGCACTATGCCTGATATATAACAGAGTTCAATAAAATGTAAGACTGCTGGTAATTATATCTGCAAACCCCCAAAACAAATCAAAATAGTGCTCTGAGCTGCTCAGCCATTTGCTCGGAGACCAAATTACTCCTCCACCTGCCGCCCTGATGGCTCCTTCTAGAAGATCCTGTGGGGAAAATGTGTCTTCAGTGAAAAAAAGAAATCTGAAGGATAATATAAGACTGATTGTATTTCCTTTTGACTCTGGCCCCTAGAAGATTCAGCAGCACGCTGATGACTGTGTAAAGCCTCGTATCATGCTTGTCTTGGATTCCCTGTAAGTGACTTCATATTGCATGATGATCTTCACCCTTTACACTCATTTCTTCCTCTTTTTAAATCTTACCACATATATATATTTTTTAAGTTATCTCAACGTCTTTTTGCAAGGTGATAGAATGCTAATCAATTAATTCCAAGGCAACACACAATGTCTGTGTTACACTTTAGAGGAAACACTCGTCAGATCTGACTAAGAGCTGCAGAAATTCAACATAATTCACCTTGGCAGCAGCCCCACCACCAAGCCCATTTTCAGTGCCCAGTCCCTAGTGAATCAGTAAGCAAACTTATAGTAATATCCTTTCTACCTAAAAGTGAAAACATCTCACAGATCACAGGATGACTGAAATCTGCAGCCAACTAATACAGAAGGGAGGATGGTCTGTGTTTGAAGCTGGACAGCAGGTGACAGAGATTCACCGTATCATTCGGTCTACTTTTGGGAACATTCAAAGTCCTCTATACAAAAAATGTAAAACAGATTATAAATTTTTTAGAAAGAAACAGAAAGATAAGCCAAAGAAACCTGGAGGTAACTTCTCTACCTTCTCTGTTTCTTCAACGACTTGCTCCAAAATTGGAAATCAGTGAAAAAGTATTTTAGAGACTCAAAGGTATCAAATGAGAAACAATAAACCCACAGTTAGTTGTATCTGTCTTAAAGTCAGCATTCCTAATTACTAAATATAATCCAAATGCAAAGCTAATGAACAATTTTGCTTCTGTTAATACAGTTCTCAACTACACATTTTCAGATAGAGGTGAAAAAATTTATAAACAAACATCAATGATGTGTTCTCATCCATTATAAAAGTAATCAGTTTAATGCTGGGTATTTTATTTAAAAAATTTAAAAGTTTCAGTTACTCTTTTAAAATATTTAAAAACAGAGGCACCTGGCTGGCTCACTCATTAGGCGTCTGCCTTCAGCTCAGGTCATGATCCCAGGGTCCTGGGATTGAGCCTCACATCGGGCTCCCTGCTCAGCGGGAAGCCTGCTTCTCCCTCTCCCAATCCCCCTGCTTGTGTTCCCTTTCTCACTGTGTCTCTCTCTGTCAAATAAATAAATAAAACCTTTAAAAATAATAATAATAAAATAAAATATTTAAAAATAGGGGCACCTGGATGGCTCATTCGGTTCAGCGTCTGACTCCTGATTTCAGCTCAGGTCATGATCTCAGGGTTGCAGGATCAAGTCCTGCACTGGGCTCAGCACTGATGGAGGAGCCTGCTTGGGATTCTCTCTCCCTCTCCTTCTGCCCCTCCCCGCTCTGCTCTCGTGCTCTCTCTTGCTCTCTCTCTTTCTAAAAATAAAAATATAATCTTTAAAAATAAAAGACTCCTTTGGCTTTTTTTAAGTCTATTTCAAATCTAAAAGCAAAGATGTGAGCTTAAATAGGAAGTCTGTGGTGGAGCAAGATGAATTGACCTTGACCTCGACAGCGTTAAAATGTCTCTGGGGTGGGTCGCCTGGGTGGCTCAGTCGTTAAGCGTCTGCCTTTGGCTCAGGTCATGATCCCAGGGTCCTGGGATCGAGCCCCGCATCGGTCTCCCTGCTCCGTGGGAAGCCTGCTTCTCTCTCTACCAGTCCCTCTGCTTGTGTTCCCTCTCTCGCTATGTCTCTCTCTGTCAAATAAATAAATCTTTAAAAAAGTAAAATAAATGTTTCTGGGATAATTCCACAACAAGTTCCTAGAACTCCCTACTATTCATGCAAAAATGGCCAGGAGGTAGCAATATCTGTTCTCAAAAACCTCTGTCACCACAAAACATCACCAGCTTATCTGCTTACCCCAAAGGCCACATAAATCCAAAATTGGATTCAGAGCTCCAGAGACACCCTCTTGTGGTTAAAAAACAAACTCTGAGCCCTATGAAATGAATACTCCTAAAAAGGATGGTCATGGAACATCATCCATGTCCCATTACTAGAGAAGTTATCTATGATAAAATAGGAGTGTAGCTACTCCATTTCAACCATGTAGATACAAAATTTATATGGGAAAGCGATCAGAGGCCATGATGAAAGGTCTTGAGCATTCAGGACAAACATTTATCCTTCCTTGTCTCTATGGCAGTTTAGTCCCCCACTTTCCATATGCAGCAGTTACTTTATTTCTGAAAAGAAAGGCAAGGAAGTGCAAAGCACCACTCCCCAAGGAAGTGCAAAGCACCACTCAAACTCTAATTCTAATCTCCTGGGTGCACACATTGTTCACAGTTTGCCCAGAATACAATAATATAACAAACATACATGTATAGCTGTTACACAACCTAACCGAAATATGTGAAAATTCCACAACTGGTCAACCTCGATTCCTCCCTCCCCCGTATGCCCCATTAGACAATGAGTGACCAAGTTCTAAAGCTTTAATTCCCACAGATTGGCTCACTCCATCCACAATGCCCTGGTTTCTCTGAAGGACAGGACAACTGCAAAAGCTAGCCCAACTATCTCCTGGTCTCCAACCTGTAACTCCATCGCTTCCCAACTCCCAAACCCATCACACCTGCCCTGAAAGAAAATGCACGTCCTCTCCAAGCTGCTGCTTCCCGACTTGCAAAAAGGAAAGCTGATTATAAGCTAACTTCCTAGGCATTTAGGAGAATGACTATAAATAAGTGAAAAGTCCTTTAAAAATAGACGATATCAATCTCACATAATCATGGGAGCAAAAGTGGTGCTAATTTTCTTTTAAAAAGAAGATATTAAACAATATCACCTAATTCATTTTCATACCATCATCCCAGAAACCACAGTACCATCCCAATTATCACCTAGGAAATAAACAAGGCCAAAAAGAAGTCATCCGTTAACGATTTGAAGGTAAAATTCCACCTAGCCAGGTGCCAAACAGGTGTTTTGCCACGAACAAGCTTTTCATTACCAAAGCATACAGACATTTCTTCTGGGAAAAAGAATCCTTCTGATTGTTTAAATCTGTTTATTTTGTTGATCCTTAGTTTATCACCCAGTGATTCCCTTCCTTATCAAGTCATGCAGAAAACAGTCGCCAGGTTCTCTAGAGAGGTTATTTTTCTATACCTTGCTTGCCTAAGCCCAGAGCCTTGCTGGCACATGGTGGGCATTCAGTAAATGCCTGGCCGAATAAATAAATGCCTCAAAACTTCCAGACAGCTATCCTAGCTCTAGAAAAGCAGATTTCACTTCTCTCGGTAACTGATTCTACATCTGGCAACTTTCAATATTAAAAACTCTCCTTCAGGTACTGAAACTAAATCTCCTTCTGCTATAATTTAACTCCCTTTCTGCAGGTTCCTATTTCTCTAAGAAAGGAACCCACCTATATACCACTTACTTGTCCCAGCTCCGTTTTTAAATGACAAGGTTTCAATGGGACTCAGAGTTTTTCTGTTCACTAGGTTTTAAGGATGCTTTCTGGACTTTCTGAAAAGCACTCTGACCAGATGTGTCAAATGGTTTTCCTCTGACCCAGTGATTCTATTTTGGATAACCTGACTTAAGAAAATAATTCCAGGGACGCTTGGGTGGCTCAGTCGATTAAGTGCCTGCCTTCGGCTCTGGGCATGATCCCAGGGTCTGGGATCAAGTCCTGCATCCAGCTCCTTGCTCAGCAGGGAGCTTGCTTCTCCCTCTCCCTCTGCTGCTCCCCCTGCTTGTGCTATCTTTCTCTCCCTGACAAAACAAATAAAATCTTTAAAAAAAAAAAAAGGGGGGGCGCCTGGGTGGCTCAGTCGGTTGAGCGACTGCCTTCGGCTCAGGTCATGATCCCAGGGTCCTGGGATCGAGTCCCACATCGGGCTCCCTGCTCTGCGGGGAGCCTGCTTCTTCCTCTCCCACTCCCCCTGCTTGTGTTCCCTCTCTCACTGTATATCTCTCTCTCAAAATAAATAAATAAAATCTTTAAAAAAATAAAATAAAATAAAATAAAGAATTCCAGAACTCACTGTAATAGCGCTCCTGGCTACACAGGCCAGGGGTAAGACAGGCTGGTTTAAAGGCAGTGTCTTGGGGTTGAAGGGATGTGTCACCTGTTTCTGGGTGAATTAAATACCTAAAGCCTTAAAAATAATAATGAAAGAACAGCTTCATGTTATTCCACTGCAGTACTATGCAACTTTATAATCAGAACTGGACACACTGAGATCCCTTCATAAACTGAAATGCTTCTCTGGTGAGTAATTACCAAGCATTCACCATTTATTTCCAAAACTAATGATACTGATATCACTGTCTGCTAAACTGGAACATGCTGTGGGGAGTATTTAACAACATTTATTT